CCCCCCCAACCACTTTCTCAAAATAAAGTAACCCCCCTACAATTTTGCAGACCCAAGCCCCTTAACTCTCAGACCAACAGCTTATGTCAATTGTATTTGCAGGGATGAGGATGATGCTAATGATGATCCTGATTATCATCAACCATCCAACTCCAAAGATGATGAAGAGGAAGAAGATGATGAAGACAAGGTAAGAACACAAACAGTTCTTTTTGTCTCGTATCTTGAGGAAAATGTCTGAGGCAAACTTAGTGTTCTGTGCATCTGTAACATTCATGAAAACAAACTTTATTGCCATTACATTTGAGAAAGATTACTCTGATAATAACAAAAAAAAATGGACAGGGATAGCCACTGGATTCGAAAATATTAGCCAATCAGAATTTTWAAAAATTTTCAAAAATGATGTGTCACTTTTCCTCTTAAAAGTATGGATTTTTCAAGCCACCAAATGAAAAACCCCATTGCCGATAAGCTTTTTATAACTAAACTATAACTATAAATAATGAGTTTTGTATTTTTATTGCAATAGCAGGCATCTCACTATTTCAGATCAGCTGGAGAGTCGTTACGCTCAGGTCAAATGTTGAACTTCACATTAGCCAAACCCAATGAAATGAAGGAAGACCACCTTGTTATCCGTTGTTTCAATATTAGGTTCAGCTCATGTGGAGGTCAACGTTTGACCCGAGCCTTAGGGTTCAATAGTTAGAACAAAGCAATGTCAATAATAATTTTTTGTTGTTGATAACATTATTTGATCATTCATTATACAGGATACTGTATCTGCTATTTCATCTCCTGCAACACCAAGAAAGGGAGAGAAAGCAACTGAAGGTCAGTAGCTACAAAACTAACAAAAATACTTTTTGATAAAATATAATAAGCTCATGCAGTTGTGCACTCTAAAGTGAAGGACAAATATCAATGAACTTTTTATTTTTCAACTTGAGTAAGAATAAGGAATCAAAAATATTGACAAGTTAATAGGACGTTTGCAGGATGGCATCATTTTACTACGACTACCAAGATGCTTTGCGAATTTCCTTACATATTCAAATTCGTATTGCCTTGTGTCGTAGTTGTAGTTGTAGTTAATGACACCATAATGCAAGTGTCCTTTGTAGATTCGTCACACAACTTGTGTCCTGTCTTCACCACAAATGTACAGCCAGAGGACATGGAGATTTAATGCTGTAATTATTTGTTGTTATATTTGAAGGTTCAGAAAACAATTCAACAGGACTTACGTGGCCAAGTGCCTCTGACTTGAACACCAGGCTAAGAAGACTTGTCAGTGGTTACCAAAGAGTTCATAGAAGACAAGAACTGAAGAAGGCAGCTGCTGAGAAGGTAAGCTGGTGACAAAACATGGTTATAACTACTAATGAATCTGTGGAGAGGGATGAATAGGATGGGGGGTAGGATTAATGGTGGGAGGCAGAAAGATAGGGAGGAAGGAATAGATGGAATTTGAATTGCCCTCATTTTACAAGGGTAACACATTATCACTGTGTAGCTAGCGAACCCGTCCCCCCTAAATTTGGGCCTTACAATTTCATGATATGCAAGACTGATTTTATTTTTTATTTTTTTGAAGGAGAGAGAAAGAAAAGAAAAGTTTGAAGAGGCTATCAGGCAAAAAGAACAAAAGAAACTTGAAATGGCACAAAAGTAAGTTGGTTAARTAATCTTCAAAAGTTCAGTCGTACCTCATCAGATTTAGTCTCACATCGCCCATTTTAGCTCCTCGACCAACAACGTTTTTTTGTGAATAGGTGTATCTAGATTTTTAGATTAACATGATATCTCATATTTTTTTGTTTAGATGGTCCAAAAGGGAAGAGGTAGACTTTTACAGGACTGTGTCAACGTTTGGTGTGGAATACAACAAAGAAGATGATACTTATGACTGGAAACAATTCAGGTAATATGCATTCCATTATAGTTAAAGTCATACTTGAGTGTAGTGTTAGTGCACTCTCCCCTCACCTCTATTCCTGGACTTGGCATCACATGTGAGTAGAGCTTGATTTGAGAACCTTCTCTGGTTTCTCCCAGTTTCCTTTCACYGCAAAGCTTAACAAGCTAAATTCCAATTGAATGTGAGAGTTAGCTGGGTTCTGACTCATATTAGGCCTGAGATTTCAGGGCATTAATGAAAATTTGAAGGCTTATACATGTGTACCATTTCTAAAACTTGGCTGACAAGTTAATTTGCAGTTTTTTAACAGTAACATTTAAAAAAATATTTACTCAACAGACGTTTGGCTCGTCTTGACAAGAAGACTGATGATCGCTTAACCGAGTATTTCAAGGACTTTATGGCTATGTGTCGAAGAGTGTGTGGCAGACCATTGGAAGAGGACAGTGAACGGAACACCAATGTGGAACCCATTTCAGAAGAGAGGGCCAGTAGATGTCTGTTTAGGATACAACTGTTGTCCAGGATACGAGAAGAGGTATGAAACGAGGCTAAAAATTTGGCCATTGCATTTGACGGTTTTACTATTAATCAATACATGCAAAAACTCAGAGGCAAATGATACACCCAATAGAAAGATTGACCAAGACTGTTGAATGGTTGAGTTCTTTACCAAAAATGGAAGATGAAAATTTTAAATTCTTTGGGAAAAGCGGAAAATATGCCTGATTTTCAAATCATTGCAAGGATGGCTGTAAACCACAGTGTGATTTCTTGTAGGTACTTCCACATGAAAACCTGGAAGAAYGGCTTAAGCTTGCTCAAACCTCTTCAGACTTTCCTGATTGGTGGATTCCAGGAGTGCATGATATGGATCTGATGAAGGGAGTAGTAAAGTAAGTAAAATGATAATGATGATGATGTTGGTATTGATTGAGATGATATGATATTTATATAGCGCTCTTTTCCATATGGATATGTTCAAAGCCACTTTACAATGATTTATGAATGAGAGATGGTTAGTATGAGGTGTAGGCACTTAGGGTGGTCACTGTCAGGGTTTCTTTAGTCCTCAGTGGTTCTTTTACRTCCCTCCGATGTTGGTTRGTAAGTGTGGAGAGACAAGACCACCATTTAAAGTGGTCATCCAAGCAGCAATTTCTCCTAAGTTATTTTAAGACCCTGAGTGTCTGACCCAAAAGTCCGATGCTCAACCAATTGAGCCAACCGGTTGGCAGTATTGTAGTCGTTGATGATGACAGTACATACWAAACATTGCACACCAAATAGTTACCATTCAATGATGTTCCTGTGAATGATCAAGTCAGTGTGATCTGAAAACATACTTTAGTCTAATCACCCTACTCTTCTTTCACACAGGCATGGTCTGGTAAGAACAGATTACCATGTTCTCAATGATCCTGAACTCTGCTTTGCTGAAATTCTCACCAAGATAGCTACCCAAAATAAATCTGTTGACAAGACATGGGACAACACAGATCTGTCATCGGCAGCAGCACTGCAGTCTTCTTTGCCATCTAATACTGATAATTCAGAAGAATTAACAAATAAAAGTAATTTACCAAATGTCTCTGACATATTCAAGCAAAATTTGGATGGCACATCTTTAGAACCTTTAATCAAGTCAAATGTGACTGAAAAGGACAATGAAACAACTTCTGATTGGTCAGAAAGCAAGAATTCAGTTGATCAATCAATGAATGAACAGCAGGATGATGATAAATCAGAGTGTCAGGATGTTGAAAGTTCAGTACAGGAGTCTATTTTGACAACGGTTAATGCTATAGGTGGTATAGATGAAGATTCACAAATGAGTGAGACTGTTGAAGGGCAAGGTACTGGGTTTGGAGAAAGCACAATGATAGCTGTGAAATGGCCTAAGGTAGGAAAAACTCTTTATAGCAAATTTCAATATTATGAAAACTTGCTAGCAGTGACCTGCACACTTATGTGGCCATTGTAAAAATGATACAAAGATTACGACTAGTTTTGGAACTAGCTTGGACTGCGTTGGTGTTTTTAGTTGAATCAAATGTGTTGTAGTAGATAATTTTATCACCGTAGGTACGAAAGATAGTACACTGACGTTTTGAATGTTAGTCCTTCGTTGGAGTAAATGGAAACGTCAGTATACTATCTTTCATACCTACAGTGATAAAATTATCTGCTGCGACACATTTGATTCAACTAAAAACACCAACGCAGTCCAAACGATACAGACTGATTACTAGTATTTTTAATTGACAGCAGTAAAAAAATACAAACTTCAACTGGTACTGGTAGCTTGCAAGGAACCCTTRCAACTACAGATTCATGTAATATTGAAAATGGGTTTACTGCTTTTTTTGGTTTTTCACATAGGAATTTGTTTTTTTGCTGCBGCCATCAAAAATATGAAAGGTACCAACTGATTGGTTTTGATTGACAGCAAGGAAAAACCAAATTTTAACATGCAGCCACTGAGTATGCATGTTTATGAAAATTGCAGTAAACCAAGGATTGGAAATTGTCTGTTGAGTGGGTTCAACTAGGTGAAGAGTGTGGTCTTCAGGAAGATTTTTGGTGGTGACTGAATTGAAGTTTCAAGATCATGACTACTACTAAGTGTCATTGAACCATCATTCTCATACTCATGAATATGTAATGAGGAGAAAACAAAGCAAATCACTACTGTGACGGTGGTTTGGAAATGTGTTCTTAATTTGCATTAAATTTCGTCAAGTTTTTCTTTGATTTTTTCCAAGAAATATTCATGAGTTTGAGAAGTAATATCAAACACTTGAGAGAGTTCTTCCTCAGATTTCCAAACACCTCAAAGTCAGTTAAAAAAACTCGGCTGCGCCTCGTTTTTTTAACTCACTTTTCGGTGTTTGGAAATCGGAGGAAGAACTCTCTCCCKTGCTTGAAATATTACGTTACCATGAATGTAGCATTCTTTTTACAGTACCTGGGTGAACATTCATTCCCTATTACATTAGAAAGTAGCATCAAAATGCCACTATGGCAGGGTGTACACCTTACTGTTGTGTACCTAAATGCTGGTCATAGCTGGAAGATGTTTTTTTGTGTGTGTGGTATTTATTGTTGGTAGTAGATTGAAGGGGTCACTATTTCTGTTGCTGTTGATATAGTTTATACTCCTGCAGAACATATTCTCAACTTGTTTTGTTTCTCATCACTATTGCTCTTGTTATCATTGCTATAGTTTATACTCCTGCAGATCATATTCATTCTCAACTTGTTTCGTTTCTCATCACTATTGYTCTTGTTATCATTGCTACAGTTTATACTCCCAAAGATCATATTCATTCTCAACTTGTTTTGTTTCATTATATCAGGATCGTATAGTCATGCAGCGCCTTGACCAGCTCTGTGATTGCGTAATCAAGGGTGTCTGGCCAGTCAAACCCAAGCTAGAACCTGTCATACCCAACCAGCTTGGAGTAGCCTCTCCGTCTGCAGCTCTATCCAACATGGTAGATATAGACATGATACACCCAGGGATGATACTAGATGCTGCTGGCAAGGATGACTCTTCCAAGGCTTTCCAGGTCCAGAGGGTGTGTTTTTAAGTAATGTGCCGTGTGTGTGTATAGTTTGTTATAGACTATAGGGTGGAAATTGCTTTGATTGATTATATTTTAAATTGCCAACCAAAATCTATTTAGCAATCCAATAAAACAGTGACAAAACCTATGGTTAAAATGATTGAAATTCCAAGTTTATAAACATTTTGTCCACCTATAGGATACGATATAGAGAGCTCATGCAGACGTGTACTCTAACAAAACCATGCTTTAAAGTGTCATCATTATCCTCTATACCTGTGTGTCATCATTATCCTC